GGGGGGGGGGGGGGGGGGGCAGAGATGAGATGTAGAGAAAGCCATTCACCAGGGTGCAGGGGCTCTCTACCCACGGCCTGGGCCCAGAAGTCCCTGGTTTGTTGAGCAGGAGGGGAGGCCCTACTGCTCCTCCAGGAAGCTGTCCAGGGCTGGCTTTTATTTCCTGGCACCTGGCTGGCACCTTGCTGCCTGCTCAGGCTGGGTCCAGCTCAGTGCCCACTATGTGAGCAATGTGTGACAGACCTTTCTCCAGGCACGTCCCTGGGCCTGGCAGGTGACATTCCAGCTCAGCTCCTGTGCCCAGCTGAACAGGAGAGACACCCCCCTGGGCCTCTTTAGACACCAGACCACCCATGGGCAGCACCATCTGGGACACAGTCTGATGACCAGGAAGACGGATCCTGTTTTAGCAAACCTTCATCATCTGGGTCCCTACCAGCTACCTGTGACCACACATTCTCAACTGGCAAATCCCTAACTCAGGCCTCTCCATGCTCCACACACACCTTGATGACAGTGCCAGCTCTTCACAGTTTACAGGGGACTGTCGTGTGCAGGATTCCATCAGGTCGCCAGCCCTTGCACAGATTGAGAAACTGAAGCCAAGAGGAGGGGTACAGCCGGGTACCCGCCTTGTTGGTGGCAGCGCTGGGACCAGACACTAGGTATCGGGCCGGCCCTCAGTCTCCCATGTGGGTGATGCCCTGTGACACCTGGTTCCCCTGCACCCTGAGCTCTGGGTGGGGAGGAAGGGAGCGGGGATGGAGTGGTGTTCCAGTAAGCTGGGAAGACTTGCTCTCTCTGCTATTTTGAGACCTGAAATTTTGGGGGAGGTGGGGTCAACTGACTTTGTCTCAGCTGATTTCCAGGGGAGAATGTGGGGGACAGAGATTAGCCCAGGCCACCCAGCAGGCTGGGACTGACAGGTGACTGCCCAGTGCAGTGGAGGAGCTTGGGCAGTGATGTGACTGTGACATTGCACAGGTGGGTCGCATCACCCTGATAATAAACTTTTAAAGGCATAGCTTTGTCTCGGGCTCACTGTATTCCAGGCAGTACGCTAAGGGCTCTGTATTTGTTACCTTATTTAATCCCGTCAGTGACCTGTGAGGTTGGTATTACTGTCCCCAGGCTGGCCTCATGGGCGTGGGACCGAGGCAGGGGCACAAGGCCCCTTGCTGGGTTTAACGCTCTGCCGTGGCTGTCTTGAAGTTCTTAGGACTTTTTAAACAAGGAGCCCAGCATTTTCATCTTGCACAGAGCCTCACAAATTACGTAGCAGGTCCGGGTTGTGCCCACTTCTCAGAAGAGGTAGCAGAGGCCCAGAGCGTTCATGAGGTGACATGCCCAAGATCACAGAGTGGGCAGCTGCCCTAGGGGTCTGACCCCAAAGCCCACATTCCCTGGAGCAGAAAGAGGCTGACCGGAGCCTGGTGGCCACCTGCCCATGGCCAGGGGGCAGCCTTCACCTCTCCCAGCCTCAGCTTCCTTCTTTGTGGAGTGGGGTGGTCCCGCCTGCCCCTCGGGGAGCTGGTGTGCGCATGAATGTTCTGCACACTGCACGAGCTCGGCAGATCAGAGGATCATCATTAGCTGACTCACAGCTCCTGGCGCTCCTGTTAATGCCCCCAAGTAGTCCTGACACAGATGCATAGCCCGCCCCCCAACAATGGGAGACCCTTCCCTAACAGCAGCAGGAGCCCTCCCCTCTGCAGTGGAGCCTGCAGCTTGGGGAGAGGGGGCCGCGGTTTCCCATCCATTCACCTGCTCACAGAGCTAAGCAGTGAGGGCTGCTCTTGGGTCCATCTGCACTTGGAGGCTCTCCAAAGAGCTTTGCTGGATATAATCAGAGCTCTTCTGTCAGTGGAAAGGAAGCCCTGTAGGGTACAGCTGCCCCAGGCGCACTCAGAACAGGAGTCTGGCACCTCAGCAAAGAGGCAGACGGCGCCAGGGAGGAGCCCCAGAAAGCAACTAATGGGTCTTCAGATCTGGAGAGATTCTGGCCGTGAAACTGCGCAGAAAGACCCCCATGAGTACACCCCACATGTGCACAGAGTGCTAAGTCTTCTGAGTGCATGCAAACTTTGGTTCCGCCAATCCCAAGAGCTGAGGAGGTTGTAATATCACCCCCATTTTACAGATGAAGAAACTGAGGCTTGGCAAGCTGACAGGACCCAGAGCCGGGTCATCTGATCCCAGGTCCCAGGTTTCATCTCTCAAGACCAGTGGTTCTCAACCCTGGCTACGCACTTAGATCCCGTGGGGAGCTCAAAAATACGCTGCTGCCTGAGTCCTGTCCCAGATCAGTTGAAGCAGAACCCCTGGCATACAGCCTGGGAGTCAATATGTTTATACAAGTTCCTCAGGGCATTCTCACGTGCCCCAAGTGGGGCTGGAGGTGAGAGCAGGTTTCTCTATTATCAGCTGGGGTGGAATATTCCTCCTCATCCCCTAGGGATGCCCACAGTTGGCTCAGGCTCGTAATAAGATGTCCTCTGGTCAGACCTTGGTTGCAGGCTGGGACTGTAGGAATGGTCTGGGACAGAAAGCTCTGCTCTTCCTTATGCCTGAGCATCTCCATGCCGTGGTGGAGAGCAATCCCACAGCCTCCCTGGGGCCCAGACTGCTGTTTGGCTTTTGCAACTCCACCTTAATCCCCCCACATCTTCATCTTCCACCTGCCCGTTCCCATCACTGCCAACAAGCAATCACAGCTACTAATTTTTTGTCTTTTTTTGTTTTTTGTGGCAGAAACTTTTTTAGGCATATGCAAGTCAGTAAAAATCTCTCTTCCCCTCCTCTCTTTTCACACCAGGGTGGTGTACTTAGGCTGCTAAGCATCCTGCTTTTTCATTAAAGCTGTATCTCGGATGTCATTCGACATCAATGTATTCTTTTTTACAGCTGCATTTTCCCAGCACAGACTTTAAAAACTCACCCTGAAAGCCAAGGACTTCTCTCCCTGGTCCAAGTTGAATACCTCCTACCCTGACTTACCCGTCTCCACTTGCCCGGCCCCCGCATCCCTGGGGACGCCAAGCTGAGGAGGCTCGGCTCTAACTCGGAGTTACTGTTTACCTGCGCTTCCACATTCTGGGTGAGAACCTTGGTTTACACCTCCTCCCTAGAGAAGGGGAGGCCAAATCAGATCACACAGCTGAGGTTTTTGCCAGGGAGGTGCTGCTATGTGGGCCTCTTGGGCTTACCAATCCAGCTCGATGCAGCCAGCTCTTCTGCTCAGCAGCTGCAGGCTTATTTGCTTCCTCCTCTGAAGAGGTGAGGTCAGGTGTTGTTCTTGGAGGAAGAGGCTGAGAGTGGGGGTGAGACCTGCCTGTAAGAGCCAGTGCCTGTGGGTGGAGGCAGTGGCACCTGCCTGGAGCCACTGAGTCTGTGTGGTGTCTGGCTGTCCTGCAGTTGCCGCTCAGAGGAGAGACCTGTGCCCTCAGATTCAGATGACCTGGGCCTGTCCCCTGTCGCTGGTGGGGAGATCTTGGTGAGTCATTTAGCCTCTTGGAGACTTGGGTTCCTTGTGCACAAAATGGGGATTAAAAACAAATCCCTGCAGACATGCTGTGAGCATTAAATGAGATGATCGAGGTGGAATCATTTCGTAAATGGTAACACTGCACAATTTATAAATCGATTGTTAACTTCTCTGCATCGAGTTAAAGCACTGGAATTACCCACTTCTAGTCCTGGACTAGTGGTTAGAAGTCCTACCTCTGGGCCCCCTCTGGGCCTCAGTTTCCCCTCCCGTGGAGGGGACGTGCAGGCCCCGGTGGCTGGGTAGGGTTGGGACCCACACAGTTTCCATCCTCCCGCAGGGCCCGGTGCCACCTGCCCTGTCCCGAGAGGAGAGCACCCCGGCCGGCCTCTCCGATGTGTACGCACTTCCAGGGCTGATGGACCTTCCTGGCAGAGGCTGCCCCGGACTCCTACCGACACTTGTCTGCTCCTGCCTTGTGTGAATTGCGGCACCCACAGGACTCCAGGACAACTCACAGAGCCCGCCCTCCACAGCTGCTGCGGAGGCCCTGTCTGTGGCTTGCTCCACTGTTCCCCTCGGTTCTGGGCACCACCCAGCCTCCGAGACTGGTGACCACCCTAGTGGTGCCCTGGAGAGCTGTGACCCCAGCCGGATGAGGCCATTCCAGAACGGGACCGACCCCTGCCACCCACTGAGCCTGCCCCGTTGCCCCCCCAACCCTACGTCTGGCTGCCTGGGCAGATTATAGGATGTCTGTGCCCCAGATCCAAGTAGAAGAGGTGGGTGGGGAGGAAGGGCTGGCAGGAGCAGGCGTGCCGCTGGACGACCACCTCCGGAGCCTGAAGGCCCTCACCGAGAAACTGAGGCTGGAGACTCGCAGGCCCTCCTACCTGGAATGGCAGGCCAGGCTGGAGGAGCAGACCTGGCCCTTCCCGAGGCCACCTGTGGAGCGGGAGGCGAGCTTGGAGCAGGGGGAGCCTGGGCAGCATCCCCCACCTGCCAGCAGTGCACCCCGGGGTGACATGCCCTTGCCCACCGTCAAGCTGGGAGGCTTTCAGAGCATCGATGAAGCAATAACCTGGCTCAGGAAGGAACTGGTGAGTGGCTGACCCCCTCCCGAGAGTCCCCAGAAAAGAGAAGATGCCGTTCTCTCTCTCTGTCTCTCTCTCTGTCTCTGTCTCTGTTTCTGTCTTTGTCTCTCTTTGTCTCTGTCTCTCTGTCTCTCTCTGTATATCTCCCTCTATGTGTCTCACTGTCTCTGTCCCTCTCCCTCTGTCTTTCCGTCTCTCTGTGTCCACTCCCCGACCACATGTTCCTCCCATATCTCCACCCCCCCACCGTGGCGTGTCTGTAATCTCTCTGTCAGGGGAAGAGCAGGCCTCTTTTCTCTGTGGTTCATTGGGCCTGTGTGTCCATCAGCCCTAATCGCTGGCACTGGTGGGAGAGGCACGTCTGCCCATGAGAGGCTGAGCATGGCACGTGTCCCCACCCTTCCCCAGTGCCACTCCCACACCGGAGTCTCATATGCTTCTCCCTGGACTGCCAAGGGGGCTCCTGGAGTTGACTGCCCCCTCCCCTCTCCCCACAGCCCCTCACCCTGCTGTCCACCACGGCTCTGGCGACCACTCATTCAGCTCTCCCTGCGCGGGTGCTGGGCTGGACGGCAGGGCTACGTGAGGTGACCGCGGGGCAGGGCCGGCTCTGGCGACCACTCATTCAGCCCACGAGTGGCTGCTCTCCCTGCGCGGGTGCTGGGCTGGACGGCAGGGCTACGTGAGGTGACCGCGGGGCAGGGGCTCTCAGTCTGTGCAGGGGACGCTGTTAGAGGCTGGGCTTGGTGTGGAAAGTGCTCTGTCAATGATCAGTGCTGGACAAGAAGCTGTCCAGAGGTGAAGGCCCTGAGAGCTGAGCGGGAACCTGCTGACGCACAGGCCAAGCCGGGCACTCCGGGCGGGATGAGTGTGCGTAAAGGGCGTGTTGTGTGTGAGCTGGGTGAGCCGATGTCCCTCAGGAGCACACGCCCCAGGCTCAGCGAATCTCAGCCTGAGGTGCCCTGTCCCCTCCCTCCTCCCCGCAGAGAAGCACTGGCTGGGGCATGGCAGCTTCTCAGCGGAGCCAAGCAGGAAACCTACCCTCCCCAAGCTCTCAACCCTGCCCCGCCGGTGACACCTGCCAGCTCAGGCCACTCTGGCCATAGGTGAGCCAGCGATCAAGGGCCAACTGCCCTCAGAGCTGGTAGCAACTCTTGGGGCTCCAGGGTAGGCGGAGGCCTCTTGGTTATGTGTGGCAGAATCCCGAAAAATGTCTCCATTGGGGAGCTCCTCATGAGCAGAGATAAATCACGGGGGCTGGGGTGGGGAGGGGCCCAGGGACCCAGGTGTCTGATTAACTGGAAACCTCTTTGGATTTTAGTCCTTGATGTTGAGGATGTATCTCAGGACACACCATCCCTCTATGTCCATCTTTAGTACCGGAGTGTGCGCGTGCTGCTGGCTTTCACAGAAGTCGGGCACCTCTGGATTCTTGCTGCATCTCTCGGGTGCTCTGTGGCCACTGGATGTTCTTGGGGGTCCACAGAGGTGAGGACGAGAGGCCGTGCAGTGTCCAGGACAGAACCTGCAAGTCGCTCTGTGAATTCCTGAGGCTAGACTGCTTTGGCGCCTTTTCATAAGAAGGAACAAAAAATATTCTCATTTGTCAAGGATGCACCGTGTTGATTTCAGGTTCATTCGAGATTTCACTGCTTGTGGGAGCACAGGCTTTCACTCTCTAAAGAGGTTAGCATTTTCCACAGACGTCTGTTTGGAGCAGGGATTAGAGAAGGAACCCACAGGGAGTTCCCTCCGGCCGTCCCCATCACCCTGTAGAGAGGGGCGCCTCTCAACGCCAGCTGTGTATGGAACCACCTGGGAGCTTTAGGACTCCCAGAGTCTTGGCCACACCCCAGACCAATCAGATGACTCTCTGGGGAATGCCCAGACATCCGTAGTTTTAAAGCACCCAGGTGCTTCCAGTGTGCAGGCCGGGCTGAGAAACATGGCCTGGTTTACAGTCACATCACGGCTCTTGCCAGGCCACTGTAGTCCAGGTGCCCTGCCCGAGCCCGCTGGCAGAGAGGAGAAAGGTGAGCCAGGCTGTGGAGCAACTTTGGGCGTGGCCATGTAGACATGTGCTGCTGGGCAGAAAGCAGAGCATAATTGTCAGGACAATTTGGCCACCAGAGGCTGTCTTAAATAGGTAAAGGGGTATTAGCATCACTACCAATGCTTCATGTTTGCATAACCACCTCTCTGTGCTGCGGGTGGTAGTAACAGTAACTATAGCAGTGACGTCCAGCACCAGTCGAGTGCATGGTGTGCCCGGTGCTTCACGTGCAGAGACTCACCTCTTCTCACCGTCACGTCACCTTCCCAGTAAGTTCCCCATCTTCAGGAAGAGGACACAAGCCCAGAGAGGAATGCAGCAATAGTGGCACAGCTGACCTTGAACCCGGGTCCCCCTGGCTTTGTGGCCAACGCTCTTCTCAGCCAACAAACAGCAGAGGCAATTGCCTCTGTGTCCTCCAGAGGCAATTGATTTTGCAGTTGGATTCCTACAGATGTGAATTCACAAGGACGTCAGCAGTGAACAGAGTGTGTCGGGGTGGGGCAGAGAGAGAAACAAGACGGAGCGAGGGAGTCCCAGCCCTGTCCCCTCGATTCTTACAACAAACCCTTGCGGCTGCTGCCGTTGTCTCCATTCTACAGATGAGTAACCAAGGCTCAGAGGAGTCAGGAGACCTGCCTAGGGTGATACAGCTGGTATGTGGCAGGCCCAGGGCTTGGGCTCAGTCTTCGCCATTGAGAGTAGAAGGCTATGGGGTGCAAAGGGCCTGGGGGCATGCTGAAAGAGCCATGACCCCGCAGATCGATGCAGCGCAGAGATCTCTCTGAGCATCCCAAACTCTAATGTGCACACAGATCAACCAGGTCTTTTGTTAAAATGAAGATTCTAGTTTCATAGTTCTGGGATGAGGCTTGTGATATGGAATTTCTGGCAAGCTGTAGGGCGACGCTATTCTGCTGGTCTATAGACCAGACTTTGAGTATCAAGGAATGAAAGGTGGACAAGACTGGGACCAGAGGACCAAGAAGGGACCTCAGAGGGCAGACCCAGGGGTCCCCAGGCCTGAGCTCTGAGCCCATCCCTGCCATAACCACCCCAGGGGGCTTGGAGCTCAGCCAGTGGGTGGGTCTCAGTGAGTGAATTCACAGCTTCCCAGACTTGGGCATCCAAGAACCACATTCATTCAAAAGATGCATCTCTGAGGCCAGAAGCAGCCCAGTGCAGACCGGCAGGCAGGCGGGCAGGGACATGCAGTCTGCCTGCTGCAGGGTGAAGCAGTAAGAAAGGCAGCTTGTGAGACCCTGGGACCGGACAACAGAGAGGCCGGCATTTGAACCACAAACACACTCTCACGCTGTGAAGTCTCAGTCAAAACATTAAACTCAGTGCTGTGTTCTTCTAATTCCTGTCTGTTAACTCACTGGAGGGGCCCTGAAAAATTAACCTATTTTCTAATCCGATGAAAGTGGTTTGCATAACCTTTGTTCTAGCTTATAAATATAAATATTTTATTTTTATAAAATAAGATAAAATATATTTTGTTGTATTTTAAGTCCAGAATCCAGTTTTCTATACACCTGGGCAGGCACTCCCTGCTGGTTGGTTGGGCTCATGCACAAATTTGTCATTTCTCCTTATGTAGCCAAGGAAACAGATTGAAAAGCTGTAATTTAGTCAGTCATGTGGATGTTTTCCCTCCACGACGCCAAACACCCGACTTGATGGAAGAGTTGACCCAGTGGAGGGCAGGTGCTGAGCTTTTCTCTGACCACCTAGAGGCTCTCCCAGGAGCAGTCGTCGATGTCCCCCTGCTCAGGGGCAGGTACAGCCATGCCTGGAAGTATCATCTAGCCTGTCCCCGCCTCCTGCAAGTCCAGCTAAAAGGCAGAGAGTAACTAGCGGATCCTGACTTATTAACGAGGCAAGGAAGGCTCCCAACAGCTCCCCCAGGGGTTCACTCCTGCTCTGGGCTCTTGCCTCAAGCAAAACAACAGTCACTCCAATCCTCTAGGACCTGATTTTCCCTCAGGCTATTGTATTGGGGACATGAGGAAGCTGGAGATCTTCAAAGCCTGCTGGTGTTACTCCCAGCTGAGAAGGCCTGGCCGTCCACTCCTGAGCGGATGCAGAGAATGTGTCAACACGTGGCTGTGCAGACAGGGCTGTGGCCTCTGCACCAGAGGCTTCAGACCACCTGACTCCTCCTGGCTGAGGACCTGCCTCGCTGTTCCAGACACAACTCAGGGTCAGGCGAAGTGGCCATGTGCAGCTCTGCTGGCTCCAGGTGGCTCTGGATGCCAGAGGTCACTGCCTCCCTCTCTCCACCTTCCGGGTGGCCTCAGTAGGTGGCCGGATGGCCGGGGTGGGGTGGGGTAGCACCTCAGGAGGGGAGCTGGGAGGGCGTGGCCCTGCACCCACGGGCCTGGGCCTCTCGTCTCCACGCCCAGCTGAGTCTGGAATTCGGGACATTTCGAAAACGCCTCTCACGGGCTCTGGTCCCCAGCCAGTTCCCCGTCGGGCTCTGAGCAGGCAGCGCCGGGGGAAGGGGCCTTTCTTTCCGTCTTCTCTCCTCAGTCGTGCTCAGCAGTTCCCCTTGCCAACCTGGAAGATGCTGAAAAGGGGCAAGAGAGCCTTCCGTTTGGTCTGTGTGGTGCCAAAACTAAACGCAGAGCATTCCAGCCTCCCGGTGGGCTGTCGTTGACGAGAGCCCTGCTGCCTGGTTTCATGCCAGGGTTTGATCCCCACAGACAGAGCCCCTGAGAAGGTGTTTACTGTGTTAGAAAAAGGGAAAGAAACCCAACGAGTTTCAATGATTCCAAGACTGGCGGCTGGAGGCCTGTGGACCTGGGTCAGCCGGCCCCACGTGGCCACAGCTCGGCCCTCTTCAGGTTAACCCTCTGTTGCCCGTGCTGCCTGCTTGGCAAGCGCATGACTCTGGCATGTCCAGACAAAGCCCCGGAGGCCAGTACTTCCAGCATCTGCTGAACGACAT